GGAGCCCCGAGGGGGCTGTGCCGGGTGCGGGTGGGAGGGCGGCTGTTCCGTGGGCTTCTCTGCTCCGGCTGGGTTTGACCAGAGCGCTTGATTTCTCCGTGTCTGGGGCCGCTCTGCCTCCCGCGGGGAGGGCAGCGGTGCGAGCTCCTGCGGGCCGAGGCCGGGGAGCAGCAGCACGGGCGGGGGGGGCGTGCGGCCGCGTCAGACGGAGGTGCAGTGGCTTTTCTTTTCTCCCAGGCCGGGTGCGGTGACATCTGTTCACACTCAGCTGCTCCATCAGACGCCAGCAGCCGACCGTGCCGACAGGTAACGCCGGCGCTTCGGGGCAGGTTCCTCGGCTGTGCCCTCCCTCCCGCGGGTGGGCGTCCCGGGGTACAGGGGAAGAAGCTTTCTGTTTGCCGTAGCTCAGTCTGCGCACGCGTGACAATCTTTTCCTCACTTCGCTTCTTAAAAACTGGGATTAACTGGCAGGCTGCACCAGTCTGTGAGCCCTGGAGATGAGCCCGCCAGGCACCCTCCGTAATTTGGGTCCAGCGAAGAGAGGGGCTCTGCCTGAGCAACAAACTCCGCAGATCTCCCCGCAGCAGGGAGAAAAATCCCTGTGACAGACACAGCCTGCAGCAGTAGCGGAGGGTGTGAGGTTGTCCCTAAGCAATGGATAAGGGGCTGGAGCACGAGGCTGGGGAGGAGCGGCTGGGGGAGCTGGGGGGGCTCAGCCTGGAGAAGAGGAGGCTGAGGGGAGCCCTCATCGCTCTCTGCAACTGCCTGAAAGGAGGCTGGAGCCGGGGGGGTCGGTCTCTTCTCCCCAGGAACAAGCGATGGGACGAGAGGGAACGGCCTCAAGCGGCGCCAGGGCAGCTTTGGGTTGGATATTGGGAAAATTCCTTCCCGGAAAGGGCTGCCGGGCCCTGGCCCAGGCTGCCCGGGGCAGGGGCTGAGTCCCCATCCCTGGGGGGGTTTAAAAGCTGGGGAGATGTGGTGCTGAGGGACGTGGGTGAGTGGTGGCCTTGGCAGCGCTGGGTTAGCGGCTGGACGCGATGACCTTAAAGGGCTTTTCCAACCCAAATGATTCTGTGATTCTATGCACGCACCACAGATTCTTTACGGGATCACAGCTCCTTGAGGCTAATGATTGTGTTCTGCAGTTCTGCTTAATAATTGGAGACTGATACTACTGCGCCGTTTGTCTTCAGCTCTGTCCAAGTCCAGCAAAAGAGCTCAGCTGTTGTCCAGAAAAAATCCTACGTCCCCGCTAGCAAGGGCGAATACATCGTCACCAAACTCGATGACCTGGTCAACTGGGCGCGAAGGGTGAGTGGCTGACGCGGCCGTGCTCGCTAGGGAGAAATGGTATCAATTGCTTCGAGGTGCTGGCGGGAAATGGATTTGAGCCATCTCCTCCTCGGGACAAAAATAGGCTCAAAATTCTCCGCAGGGGAATAGCCGCGGTTCTTGGCCAGAGGGTGACATTTGGGGTTCTGTGTCGGACTGGGGGAGAGGCGTAACGTGAGGGCGGTGCGAAGCAGCGCCGGCTGCCGGTCTGCGCAGAGCTCTCCTTCAGAACGAGCAAGAGGCACTTTCTGGTTTTACGTAGTCCTCGTAACGAGCAGCTGCTCTGTGCCGCGGAGCAGGCCGCGCAAGCGACGCTGCCCCGAACCCAGCGCGCTCTGCCTCCGCTGAATTTTGCCTTCTCCCATCGCCGCTGCCCTTGTGCCGGGCTTCTGAGGCGCCGCTTTAGCAGCGTGAGATGGAAAGGGGAGCGTCTACGGCTTTGAGCACCTTCAGCATCTCCGAGGCCGCAAATGCGCAGATCTCCGCGCGCCTGTTTCCCCGGAGCCGCGAGTTTTGCTCTCCTGCGTAATGGCAGACGCCGTTTTTGTTTGCGATGCTCTGACCGAACAGACCTTGAAACTTTCCTTGTTCTGGTTCCTTTTCTGTCTGATCAGCTCTTGCTCTTTGGGTCACCCGCCCGGGGTCTCGGCTCCCGCTTCCCGCGTTCTTACCCGTAACCTGCCTCTCTCCCGCCGCAGAGCTCCTTATGGCCGATGACGTTTGGCCTGGCGTGCTGCGCCGTGGAGATGATGCACATGGCGGCTCCGCGCTACGACATGGACCGCTTTGGGGTGGTGTTTCGAGCTAGTCCCCGGCAAGCTGATGTCATGATTGTGGCCGGCACCCTGACAAACAAAATGGCTCCGGCTCTTCGAAAGGTACAGGCGGCGGCGGCTGCCTCGAGTGCGGCTGCGCGCGCTGGACGCACGTGGGAAGCGGTCTGAAATGTCTGTGCTCTGCAGGTCTACGACCAGATGCCGGAGCCGCGCTACGTGGTCTCCATGGGGAGGTGAGTGCCGGGACACCCTCATTGCCTCGTGCCGCCTGGGAGAAATCCGGTCTCTCTGCTGGAGCGGGGGGAGGGAGGGAGGGGAACCCGTTTCTCATTTGTGTTTCCAACCCCTTGAGTTGTATAAAGAGGCCTTGTTGCAAGTGAAACCTAAAGGCCCTGTGGTTAGGGTGAGGAGAACGATGTCAAGTCGCCGCGGACAGCGGAGTCTTCCCAGTGAGAGCCTGGGGGGGTTTCGCAGCTGCCAGAGCCCGGGGACTTTACACATCCAGAACCCCAGGGTTTGCATTTAGACGAAAGCTTTCAAAATGCTTCAGCTGCGCGGCGTGAAATCTGGCGCGGTGGAACTGACGACTCGTTCCTCTCCCGGAGCTGCTGGGGCCGAGGGCGGCCGTTTCACCGGGGCCTGGAGGGGACAGGCCCAGTTCTAGAAACGCTCGGTGCAGGCGTGGCAAAATCGAGAAGGTTTTGCGGTAGAGGGGAAGGAGCCTCCGGGCGTCCGCTTTGTAAGAGCAATGGAAGCGGTTGGGTTTGCAGGGGCACAGCCTGGGAGTGCAGCCTCCGCCGCCCAGCCGGCTCTCGTGAGGAGGCTGAGCGGCCACGGCGTAAGCCTCGGCTTCTGCTCCGTCCCCTCCTGTAAAAGCTGTCAGGGGGCTCCGTGCCCCGCGGCCGAGGTTCCCCTTCCCCTTTGCCTCCTCGCCTTCCCCGCGGGCGGCCGAGCCGCGTTTGGCAACGCGCCGAAACCCGCCCGTCTCTCGCAGCTGTGCCAACGGCGGGGGGTACTACCACTCTCGGGTCCTGCCGCCGCCGCTGGCCATTCCCGCCGCGCAGGGTGCGGGCGGCAGCGCGGCCAGCCACGCGCGCTCCTGCGAGATGCCCCCTTGCCGAAACGCAGAGCGCTGCTACGTTTCGTAACGGCCTTTCCAAAAAGCGCCGTCGCTTTACCTGCTTTGAGCTAAAGCAGCCCCCTTGCTTTTGTGAACTCTGCGGCCCCTGACGCGCACAAAGCGAGGGAAATCCCAGCCCGCGTTGGGGCAAAGCCCCGTTCTGCCGGCCACGTTTCAGTGCAGGCAGCAGCCCCGCGGGCTTCCTGTTTTTCTCTCTCTCAGGTTGCCCACCCACTGCTGAAGCTTTGCTCTATGGGATCCTGCAGCTTCAGAAGAAAATCAAACGGGAGAAGAGGATTCAGATCTGGTACAGGAAATAAGCTGTTGTTTGTGACGGCCCCAGCACCGCCCGCCCGGGGCACCCGCTTGCACTCGTACGCACAATAAGTCTCTGTCCTCACGAGCCTTCCAATAAACCTCTACCGGGTTAAGACGCCCTTCTGTCTTTAATGCATCCCTCTTGTCTCGAGGGTTTTAACGCGTTTAAAAACAGAATTAAAAAGCGGGAGTTGGAAAGTGGTAACGCTCCGAGCGGCGTTGCCTGGTCTGGATAGCCCGTGAGGGCAGGAGAACGTTTGGAGTTGCCCGTCGTGACGCGAAAGCCTTGCCGTGGGCGAGGGGCTTTGCTCTCCGGCTTTGTTAGGAAGCTTTGGGACCGACGCGCGTCCAGGTGAGCCCCGAGCTCCCCCGAGCTCGCCTCTCACTCGCCGCCGGCTTTTTGTTTAGAATTCCTACAAAGGATCTAATAAATCCTTTATATCTGTGCGCGCAGCAGCCCCAAATCAATTCTATTTCTGTAACGCAAGTAAAATATTAATGTTTAAAAGCAGAATATGACTAACGAAAACGAAAGCCGCAGCGCTCCTTAGCAGGGTAGGAATAAAGCGGCCCAGGGCGGGCTCCGGTGCTGGCTGCGTCCCGGCTCCGGTGCTGGCTGCGTCCCGGCGCCTGGTGCGGCGTTCTCCCGCCGCCTGGGCCGAGGAGCGGGCCCTGCGGAGTTACGCACCCGCTTTCGGAAGACAAATGAACTGCTCTGCAACAGCGGCTGTGTCGCGTTCCTTTTTAATGGATTTTATCCCTTCTGGATAGAGAGGAGACGTCATTTGTGCGCTGTTGAACTGCAGGGAGGTCGTCGGGCTCGGAACTCACTGCGGCGAGCTTTAGCCAAAAGTATCGGGGCAGCGTCACCGGGAGCGGCTCCGGGAGCGGCCAAAATGGAAGTGCCCCCACCTGCCCCTCTCCCCCATTGCTCCCGCCTGGTTTTAGGTTACGTGGCTGGTGTGCGGAAAGCCACCCCTTTAATTTAGAGGAAACCTCTCGTCCCGAAGCCCCGAAGGCTCTGAGCTACGCTCTTGAATTGCAGCTTAATCGAGGTGTTTGGAGACGAGGGCGTCTTGAGTGGGAAGCGGCCGCTGGGACAGCGGGTGGGACCCAGCGCCAGTCCAGGAGCTCCCCTGGGCCCAGGGCGTCCGTCCCACGCCTCCGGATCAATCAGCTTCGATCTTCTCTCGTGACCTCGAAGGAGATGGGAGCTTTGCTCCTCCTCGCAGCGCACGTTGTCAGTCGTCAGCCTCCCCTCCGCCACGGGGCCAGGCTGCCGGCACCCTCAGTGCTTAACGATGGTGGGCGTGATCATCTTGTGGAAGGAGTAGTACCTGCAGTCCTCGGGGGGCACCAGCTCCATCACCCTCGTGCTGATGTTCTCCTTCTTGAACCCGGCCTCCACCAGGTGCCCTACCTGGGTCTCCTGCGGGAGAGGAGGGGCGGAAAGGAGCAGCGATGGTTTGAGCTGCCCCGATGCGAGCGGAGCCGCTGCTGAGCCCCGGCCTGCGGGGAGAGGGGACGGCGCGAGCAGCGGGGCGCAGGGAGCCCCGTCTTGGGCTGCCGTGGGCGAAAACCCTCGGACCCTCCCTCGGGTGCTCCCCGCCGAGCCCCAGCCCTCGCGGATGAGTTACGTCACCATGGAGCGCTCTGGCTCGTGCTGCACCACGGCGCGGGCGAGCGCCCGGGGATGCCGGAGGTGCCCAGGCTGACGGGGTGCCTTTGGGGACCCCGGGTCAGGCGGGGGGAGCCGGGCCCCCCCAGCCCGGGGAGGGACGCTCACCTCAAACATCTTCTCGATGTCGCTGTACTTGGTCTTCAGCAGCTCCCCCCAGGAGGTCAGGTTGCAGTAGGTGAGGACCCCGCCGGGCTGCAGCAAGCGGAAGGCATGGTCCTGCAACGGGAATCGAGGGGGGCCTGGCTCAGCACCCAGTGCGCTGCCCTCGCCTTGCGCAGCACCCCTTGCTCAGCACCCGGGCCCTGCTGTGCCCTGTCTCCCCGCGGAGCCGGACGCTGCCCCAGCCCTTCGCACCCTCCTGCTGCTCCCCTCCTGCTGCGACCATGGAGACCGAAAGTGCTGCGATGCCACCCTCACGCTGGGGACGTGGTTGGGGTTTTCCAGAGGGCGGCAGGGAGGGAGCGGGGACGGCGGGGGCTGCAGACCAACGCCCGGCTCTGGCTGTGACTCCTGAGCTCCGAAATTCTCCTCTCTGCCCTGGGAGCCCCCATCTCCCCCAGACCCCCCCGAGCCGGGGGCTCTGGCCCCTCGCGAAGGGCGGGGGGAGGCGCGGGCGCTGCGGGGCCGGGGTGCGGGTGCTGCACCCTGCCACGTTACCTTGATGAAGGCGAACTGATGGGTGTGCCAGGTCTCCTCCGACAGCGGGTAGGTGTCATACAGGATCCCTGCCCGGGAACGCCGGAGACCCTCCGTTAGCCGGGAGAGACCACCAAGGCGCCGGCAGGGCTCAGGTGCCGGGGGCAAGATCCCCCTTCGCACCCTGTTACTATTTCTTCCTATTTAAATTTGCACCCCACCTCCCTGCCCCCCGGAAGGCAGCGACGTGCGGCTCCCCAGGACGAGGCGTCGCTCCCCGGGGACGCCGGCTGCAGCCCATCCCCGTCCCTGCCACCGCGGGAGGGAGCCGGGCTGGGTGCTCGCCTGCACCCTGAGCTCTGCCGTGGGCCCCCCACCCCGCCGCCCCCTGCCCGGTCCTGCCGGCCTTGGCCGCGCGCGGC